AAAACTTGACTTCACACTTTTAACATACAGAAGCATAATATTATGACAATGGTCAAGAGCAGGCAATCCAAGGCAATGTATTATCAGACAGCAATTGGGCAATGTTCTGTAAATGGGCAGCTTAGGAAACAGACTCAAGCCCAGATTTGTATTAGTTCTTTCTGAAGGGTGGGAGATACAATTCTAAATAGTCAATTAGTTTTATATGATCCACATTCAAAATATGTTAGTAGAATGAAATGAGGAGTTAAATTTGTCCTCTTGACAATCATCCCCCTCCCCTTCAATTTCCCATATGAATTTTCTGAGACATCTGTTAGGAAATGCACTTGTAGTGTTTGTATTCAATGAAGGGAAGGCTTGGAGAAGCTTTTAAATATGCTGTAGGACTATCCAGTGGCAATCTATGGGTGACTTCAGTGCCTGCCTGCTGTTGTTTTATGCAAATGACCTCTACAGTGCAACCTCCATTGTCCTAAATCTCACTTCTGTAAAGCTGAATCTGAGTCATGGTACCAAGCTTGAGCAAGGACATGATCCTGTTTCATAGAATGGGAGATTTCAGTAAAATGTCTAGATTGTACGGACAGTCTGAAGGTAAACAGGCCTATTTATCTTCTGAGGCCTTCTATGGCAGGCTTCAGAGATTGGCACACCAGTGGTAATGCCAATGTAGGCTGGTTATTGCTGTTTAAACAATTGCATTTTCTACATTTTCCTTTTGTATTTGACCTGGGCGGGTGCTTATAATGCTAGATATTGCCTGTGCATGATGTCTCTGCAGGAGCCAGTGAGCTAGGAGAAGAGGCGCTGCGAGCAAGTCACTCATCTTCCTGGCACTTGCACTCTGCCCATACTTTCCAGTCTTCTGTTTTTGCGCTGCTGATCTGGGGGGGGGGATCATCAGCAAGTCAGGGCTGGATTCCCCTAAGAACTCAATGATTTGGGGTGTCCTAGATATCTCTTGATAGCTGAGATTGAACTATAAACCTGTTGTACTGGGGCAGGATGATGTAAGAGGAAGCAATCGGGCATGATGTATTAGTGTGAGCACCTTTATAGGACTAAAGGCAATTGAGATTTCCTTTCTTTCGTCACACTTTTTTCATAACTCTGAACTCACTCATTAATCATTTGTTTAGTGTGTATAACACATGATACGCAGAAAGGAAGTCAGTCCCTGCTCTGAAAAGTTCACAGTTTAAAATAAAGATAAAGAGAAAATGGCATGCCCTGGGAATTCCAGTAGTGGAAATAAATAGCTATTTACAATTTGTACTCAGAACTTGTAGCTCAGTTCTAAGTACATAATGAAAAGGAACAGCTTTGAAGGAGAGATTTGATGAATCTCCCTTTTTGAACCTTCCACCTTTGCCATGGACAGCTGGATCTTGCTCAGCTAATGTGGTCTTACATTTCTAAGACCAGAAAGGACAGAGCTGTGACTTGATCCTGAAAGGTAGTAGGGACAAGTTTGGGTCTCACAGCCAAAGGGAAATACTGAGTATATTTAGAACACAAGACAAACCACAGGAACTATAACAGAGCAAGGACACGAACATTTCCTGGCAGAAAAGTTATCGGCATTTCCTGGAATGCTTGCATTCAGATAAGTCACTGAGTGAGAATGCTTGTCCCTAATAAAATGTCACTCCTAGTTTGGCGAGAACTGGCTTTTCCTGAGTTAGGTGGTTAGTAGAAGACTGATGGTGTTCCTCACAAATGACGTTTTCTGTCTTTTCCTCCCCTTCCTTTACTCCCTCTCTTCCCCCACACTGCTATTTGAATTCTAGTTGGAAGAGTTAAGTAGATCCATTGGCTTTTAACAACCACTCATCTTGCCATCCACAATGACACATATGTTAACATTACCACATAGGGAAAATCAGACAGAACAGGGCAGTTCTTTATTTTAAATAAAATCATTACAAATGAGATTCCATATCATCCCCTGCTTTGCTCAGAGATACTGAAATGTCTGCTTCCACCTTTGCTCCAATCTAAGGGTTCGTATCCTGAACTAGCTAGCCTGTGACTTCACAGCAAGCCTGCTATTTCGGGCTCGCTATTCCGACGTCCCTGCAAACCTCATTCTATGAGGAGTAAGGGACATTTCAGAACAGCGCTTTATTTTGAAATTTGTTGCTGTGCAGAGAGCGCCAAATGATGAAACAAGCTATTTTGAAACAGCATCAAAATAAGATATGCAATGCGCATAGCTCAAATTGCATCCCGAATGACCCGTAGGGTGAAGCCATAAATATGCCTGGGTAAGGACATGTGTTCACTTGATGTAATATCAATTCACAAAAAGTATTCCTAGGAGTGCAGCCTAAATGAGGGCAGAATGGAGTTTTAGGAGGGAAAATTGGTACTTAATCCACAACTTCAATGAGCAGATTAGGTAGAACAATGAGTGCAAATAACCATTGCAGCAAGGGAGACTGGCTGGTTCTCCAGTGAATTGAGGCAGTCCTTTGAGCCAAATTAACTACAGATCTCAAGGCATAGACCTTCAAGGGCTAGCCTTCTGACCTAGGCTATGAGTCAGGGGAAAACAAAGTTACACCAGCTCCAGGGCAAGCCATACTAGTACGTTTTTCAACTTCCTCTGTCTTGAAGTAATACTTTCAGCTGTCCAGTAACCTCCCTCCCACCACACAGACATAGACACACTTCTAGACTAAATTAGTTTAATAATTTGAACTTCTTCTTCTAACTACCCCATTCAGACAAATTGAGATGTACTCTTCAAATGCTTCACAAGAAGCGAAATAATCAAGCAACCCTGTCAGTGACCATTCACAATTTCTAATACCAGATGGATGGACATGGATACCTGCCTGCACATGAACACGCACACTCACACAGTAGGTTACTACAACATCAAAATGAAATTTTACTATAGCACCCCATAATTGTGCAAACAAAATCCTGTGTGGTGACCTACATTGTGCTTGATCCACATCAGAGGTAAATCAATTAAAGTGGAGCCTGAATGTTTCACTCAGGCTGTGGAGACTTATGCTTTCAGCTTGAGATGCCTCTCTTTCAGTCCCTGGTATTGGCCAAGTTGGTGGCTAGTCCAAAGACGCTCATTGCTCATTAACAATACACTAATTCAGCAGGTGAAAAAATTACTGTACCTAGTTAGTGGGCAAGTCCCTTCATTTCTGGGCCTACACGTTGTTGGGGTAGAGATGTCTTTGGCTGGACTCAATTTTATTCTTCCCTTCCCCCACAGTTCAGCAGTCCTATGGCTAGTTCTGGTCCTACTGACTGGAGGCTCTGACATTTACATTAGATATGAAATTATGGCATTTACATTAATTATGAAAAAGAATTCAGTATACTTTTCCCTAACTGTTCCTAAATGACTGCTTTGATGTTATAACTTCAGAATACTTCCAGATGTTATCAAATGCCTTTAATTCTACTGCATAATGTGTAATACATATTGTCATGCAATGCTAATATATTTCACACAGTAGGATACTGATGGGCAGTCTGAAGGAGTGGAAACAAATGATTTTCTCAGGGATATGGATGAGAAAGCATGGGGATGTCATAAAGCATGATACAAAGCCATTAAGTCCTACTTACGTGTTTAATTAACAGAACATACAAACCAATACACCGATGCACAATGTTGTACAACAATACACATTTTAAGAATATTAAACATATGTTGCTAATGTGCAGGTTGTAGTCTCTGCATTGTTTTGTAGTTTTATGCTAAGAATAAGATAAGGAAAAAAGCAGAGTTTCCCTTTTCTAGTGTAAAATTTTCTTTGTATATAACTCGATATTAAAAGGGCCAGGGTAGTTGAGCCACATTATACACCACCTTTATTTCATTTGTCCTTTGTAGCTGAAGGCTTACTATTTATGTCTCATTAAAGTATAATCCTTGCTTTGCATTCCTGTTGAAATGGGTTGCTGCTGATCATTTTAGGTGAAATTCATCCTGTGTAGTCCACACATTGTTTAATTCCTACTTATTGTCTGAAAACAGAGATTAAATGAAGTTGAGACACATGTAGATCTTTGTGTTGAGAGTGTGACCAGGGTGAAATTTCATTTTCTGAGTTGATCCAGCCAAGGAACAAGTACTTCCCCCAACTGGACCCTTTGTAATTAAACTCAGCCAAGTCATGTACATCATAAACTGTCACTGGAAATGCTTGCTGCTGCCATCTGTGGCACTGTCAGTGTTATTGGGGTGTCTTCAGTGGCATAATTTTAGTGGAGACTTCACTTCAATCTTTGTTATGCACTGCACATAATCACTTTGGACTTAAATGCATCTCAGTCTGGAGCACTCTATAACTTGAACGTTATCCATAATGATGAGGGATTTCTACATTGTCTATAACTTCATTTCACTGTATAAAAAGCATCAAAGAGACGGAACATTTCTAACTGAAAGTTACAGTAATTCCCATAAATCCTAGATCTCGGGGGAAATGAACAAGTATTGTCAAAAAAGTTCAAACTGCCCTTTTTTAAAAAGTGTTCACTGAAAACTGATTTTAAAAAAATCTGAAACATTATGAAACTGTTTAGTGAAAGTTTTGTTTACTGAAAATCTGGCCACGGTAAATGATTTTGATAACATTTTTGTTTGATTTAAAAGTTCTGAAAAAAATGGAAAAGGCACAACATTTTTCACAAATCCCAGGAATGACTCACAGTGTTTATGCACAAAATTTTAATTTTAAGGGAATTTTTTTACCAAAAAAAATCCCTTTCTTGTTTGAAAAATCTAAGATAAACTGATTCTAGTTGTTCTGTTCTGGTGATTTTTGAAATTCTGTGACTCCGCTTTCCTCTTCGGTGCCTGTGGGCAAGGGTGAAGGTAGAGAACTAGTGAACTTGTGATAAGTACTGAACTAGCTTTTCCATAGATTGTGCCACATAAGGAAGATTGACCAGAAAAAGGACTCCCTGAATTCTTTCCTTTATGCTTTAGCAATACATTATCATTTCCTTCTAAGCAGGTGTGAGAGCATAGAGCTTGATGATGAAATAAGACATCTGATAGAGAAGAACAGTATTTCACAGTCCCGTGAGAACTCGGAGTTCATTACCCAAGAGGGTGTGCTCAGACAGATGACTTCGCGTTCCCTGGAGGTAAGCAAATGTTTCTTTTGCAACAGTTCGTCTGTAAGAGAAGAAAATTGAGGGGATATCTCCTGTTGTACTAATTATACACAAACTTCCTTGATTGCTGAACACACTGTAAATTCTCTCACCAAGCCACTTCCTGTTACTAGGGAAACTGTTTAAGTGAGAAGATGCTTTTCTTCAGTAGTTTTAAGAGCCCCACTAGATAGAGGACATTTACATAGGGATAAAAACCCCCCTCAGCTGTCTCGGGTCAGCTGTCTCTGGCTCATGGGCTCAGTCTCTGGGGCTGAACAATTTCTAAGACAGGGTTTGTCTACACAGCAAAGTTATTTCGAAATGACAGCCGTTATTTCGAAATAACTTTACCGGTTTCTACACAGCCAAACTGCTATTTCGAAATTAAATCAAAATAGCAGAGGGCTTATTTCAAAATAGGTAAACCTCATTCCATGAGGAATAGCACCAATTTCGAAATTGCTTTTTCGAAATAAGCACTGTGTAGACACTTCTGTTGAATAGGGGGCCTCCAGCCCTTCTCAGGGTGCCCTGGTGGCCACTCAGGGCACAACCAAGAAAACGCCTCTCCCTCCCCCCCATCCCCGGAGCCATTAAAAGGGTAGACTCTGGCCAGAGTGCCTGTGCCAGTTCCAAGCCTGCCAGCCCAGAGCCAGCTGTTGCTGCACCTAACCCAGTGGCCCCAGCATGAGTCAGGCAGCCAGTGCCAGCCAGCCCTCCACAGTTCCCCAACACCAGTCTGCCAGCTCCCAAGAACCTGCCAGGGGCCAGAGAAGGCAGGCACCTGCCTGGTCCAGTGCGGAGATCAGGGACCTAATTCAGGTTTGGGGGGATGCCTCTAACTCCATGATCTCCGCTCTAAACCATTTACAGGCAGATGGCTGCCGGCCTGGCCACCAAAGGCCACATGTGAACCCAGGAGCAGGTTTTCATGAAAATAAAGGCTCTGTGGCAGGCGTATGCCAGGGCCACAGGAGGCAGCTCCCAACCAGGCGCAGCCCCAGGCCCCTGCCTCTATTTTGATGCCGTGGACCACATCCTGTGGGGCAGGATGGTCTGTGCCCCCCAGCTGGTCATCAACCATGGGGCAGAGCTTGCTGCCGGCTTCCCAGCTACCGCTCCTCCTCCCACTCCTTCTCCCCCTCCCGCTTCTTCCTCCCCATATGCCCAGGGATACCGAGGCCCTCACATCCATGGTGCTGGGAGACAGTTGGGCTGGTGAGACTCCCAACCCTGAACCCTAAGCTTCTCCTCCTCCCTGCTAGCTCTCTCCTCCCAGGTTTTCCCCTCCCCTCCCCTCTCCCACCCTCCCTCTTCCCCTCTCCCACTTTCTTTCCCCAGTCTCACCTCAGTTTCATCCCCCCCCACCCCAGTTTTGTTCAATAAAGAGGCTTTGTTGTAATGAACATGTGTCTTTTATTGTACAGCAGGAAGCGGGGTTAGGGAGGGGTAAGGGAAAGGATGTGAGGGAGGAATGAGGCACAAGCTCCCAGTGGGGCACATCAGGGAGACTGTTACTGCCTGCAGCAACACTTCCAGGAGAAGTATCAGAGTACCCAGGGGCGGGTCCGGCTCCATGCTGCAGAGTGCTGTGGTGTCCTGAGTGAGGGCAACCAGAGCATGCAGAGAAAAAAAATGCTTTGCTGTCCCTCAGTGAGGTAGGCAAGAAATCAAGGAAACCTTAGAACCGGCTGTCCTGGGGGGGGGGTCCCTTTAAGCACAGATCTCAGATACCTTGTGTGGCTGTTGCAGGAGGCTAACTCCTGACCTGATGCCCTGCGAGAACTGGTTTTGGCCGGACTTAAATGTGATTCAGCATCCTATCAGTGTGGAGGTGCTATTTCTAAATAACAAAATGCTATTTCGAAATGCATTTTGTGTGTAGACGCGTTATTTCAAAATAGCTTATTTTGAAATTAGATATTTCAAAATAACACTGTAGTGTAGACGTACCCTTTAAGAGATTTGGGCTTGGACTGGAGCTCAAGCTCTGGGATTCTGTGAGAGTAGGAGGTCTCCAGCACTTGGGCTCCAGCCCAAGACAAAATTTCTACATAATTTTTAGCCCCACAGCCTTAGCCATTTGATCCAGGCTAGCTTTAGCAGCTCCCCTTTTCTCTCTGTGTAGACATGGCCTGCATTCTGACTGGCCAGTTGGACCTTTCGAGTAATGATATCTGCCGATACTGTGAGATTAATGGTGTCTAGACGGGCCAGTTTTTCCGGAAAATCAGCCACTTTTCCGGAAAAACTTGCCAGCTGTCTACACTGGCCGTTGAATTTCCGCAAAAGCACTGACGATCTCGTGTAAGATTGTCAGTGTTTTTGCAGCAATACTATGCTGCTCCCATTCGGGCAAAAGTCCTTTTGTGCAAAACTTTTGCGCAAAAGGGCCAGTGTAGACAGCTGAGATTTGTTTTCCGCAAAAAAGCCCCAATCGCAAAAATGGCGATTGTGGCTTTTTTGCGGAAAAGCGCATCTAGATTGGCAACCGACGCTTTTCCGCAAAAAGTGCTTTTGCGGAAAAGCATCCGTGCCAATCTAGATGCTTTGTTCCACAAATGCTTTTAACGGAAAACTTTTCCGTTAAAAGCATTTCTGGAAAATCATGCCAGTCTAGACGTAGCCAAAGGGGAAGAAGGGAAACAAAAATAAAGCCGCTTCTGGGGAATGAGAGGTACAGACGGGGGGAGCTGGTGGAATAGAAAAGAGGGTCTGAAGAAGCAAATGTGATGGTTTAGACTTTCCTCTCCCCCTTCCAATGAAAAAAGGAGAGGAAACTCCTCTCTCTCCTACCATCAGGAAAGGAAGGAAAAGCAGAATAGTGCACCCAGGCAGGGAGAAATACTATTACTATTCATTCCACCACCTGAAAGGAATAAAGTGGAAACCCGCTTAGTTTCCTTTATGCCATCATCACATGGAAAAGGATGTGGCTGAAAAACACAATTCCTAAGTATGTTGCAAGGCATTAGCGGGAAAAAGAGAGAAGATGTGAGACTATGATGAATCAATTTACAGGTATTTCACAGCAAACCTCCCGAATGACTTGCTGTGAAAGCTACTCAGGAAGTTTTCCAATGAAATTGGTTTTTGCCAGAAAATTCCAGTTTGTCAAAACTGAAACTTCTTTGGAAGTAACACACCTGGGTATGTGTGTGCATCATGAGCTGGGAAAGTTTTGCAAGGCGTGTGTCTTGGTCTGTGCTTGTGTCCTGGAGCTCCTTTTCCTCAGCTCTGAAGGCATGCGGGGGCGGGGGGTGTTGTGCAGATCAGCCATCTTTCCAGGTCCTGCTTACCACCTCATGGCTGGAGTCAGAATTCTCTGTGTCTGAAGGGTCTTGGCACTCTCTTTTTGCACATGAAAATACGATTATATACAGTTCTTAAGGGAGTTTGGAGCCTTATTATAGTTCTTATAGGTTAGTTTTTGCCACTTCGGGGACCTTCCCACTTTCCTCTCCCTGGGAGAAGGACTATGCCCAGAGTTCCAGGGTTTAAGAGCTGTATCTCCTGTCTCTGCTCCTCAGTCAGTGACAGCAGAAAAACCTCCACCAGAAATTGCTACATAGAGGCACTCCTCTACTTGGGCAGACAAAACCAGTTATCCCCCGTGATAGCTGATAGTCTTGAACAGTGGTTCTCAATCTTTTTGCTACCGGAAACCGGCAAACCTATTCACAAACTTCTGGCAGACCGGTATCATTGTATTTGCATATCTGCATATTCATTATGCAAATGATGAATGTGCAAATGTGCAAATACAACTATACCGGTCTGCCAAAAGCCCAGCCCCCAGTGCCAGCCCTAACTCCTAGAGCCCCCCCGCCCCTCCTCTACCCCCCTACCCCCCACTGCCCCCAGGGTGCCCTGCACCCAACCCTCCCAGCACCAGCCTCTCACATGCAGAGCCCCCCAGGGCCAGTCCCCCATCTCAAATGCTTCAGTTCCAGCCCCCTCCCCTTAGAGCCCCACCACCACCAAACACCCCAATATCAACCTCCTGTTTCCAGAGCCCCACTGCAACCAATCCCTACAAAACTCCCAGTGCCAGCCTCCAATATTAGCCCCATCCTTAGAGCCCCCCCCAGTGCCAACCTTGCTGCTATAGTCCCCTCCCACTATTAGCTCAGCCTCCAGAGCCCACTAGAACTAGCCCCACCTGTGGAGCTCCCAGTGCCTATCCCGTCCCCCTCACCTAGCCTTGAACTACTTACTGCCTGTGTGGCAGCAGTTCTGGGGGCTGGGGTACACTGCCCAGTGCCTGCCCTCCCGCCACAGCTATTGGGAGAGGTATGTCCTGCCCCACTTCTCAGCCAACCAGCGCCTGGCAGGGGCGGGCTCTCCTCCTGGCTGTAGAAAAGCACGTTGCTGCGTGGCGGGAGGACCGCACAATGAAAGGTCTCCTCCCAGCCACAGAAGAGCACTTCCCTGCTGGGCGGGGAAGAGACCCCATCCCTGCCCAGCGCTGGTTGGCTGAGAGGTGGGGCAGGACACACCTCTCTCAACAGCCAGTGCGAGAGCAGCGTGCCCCAGAGATCCGCTGATCTAGAAAAGCAGGAATATCAAAAGAAGTTGGGCCTGTCTATTAGCTCACTGCAGACTCACCTAACAGAAAGCACTACATTCACCCATGGATGAAGAACTATTCTATTTTACTCGCCAATAACAGCCAGATTCCTGAAGCATCTCACTAGGAGCTTCCTACCAGTAGCAAAGCCTACAGTTGAACCTTAGTCTTGCACTGTCAGTATTTCTCAGGCCACCCTTTGAACAGCTAATGTCTCACTTGTCTACGAAGGTGACTATCACATTGTCTGGGAGGGTGACCAAGGGGAGGGCGCTCATGTCTACCATGCCATTTGCTGTTTTTCATAAAGAAAAAGAATTCCCTTGTCTCCACCTAAAATTAAATCCCAAGGTAATTTCTCAGTTCCACATAGATCAATCATTCACGTACTGATATTCTTTCTAAAATATCCTGCCTC